CTTGCCAAGTCTGACTCCTGTCACATGAATGTTTAAGCAGTGATGCTTTCAGACGGTTGATTTCATAAAAGTTTAACATAATAGTAAGGAATAAATTATCAAAATTTATAATTAATTATTCTCCCTATAGTTGTGAATGGCATCTCTGTACTCCTCCTGTATCTCCCAAGATGGCTTGATATAAAAGACAGGCTGAAATTGTGGGTTAGAGATTCTGGGTTTTTTTTCTGGCTGCTGACCAGGTTGGATGTCAGGGAGAAGTTCTTTACTATGAGAGCGGTGAGGTGCTGGAACAGCTGCCCAGAGAGGCTGTGGATGCCCCGTCCATCCCTGGAGGTGTTCAAGGCCAGGTTGGATGGGGCCCTGGGCAGCCTGGGGTGCTATGAAATGTGGAGGTTGGTGGCCCTGCATGTGGCAGGGGGTTTGGAGGTTCATGATCCTTGAGGTCCCTTCCAAACCTGGCCATTCTGTGATTCTGTGATTCTGTGACTCTCATTAACAAGGTTCACAGGGCTATATCTTTTATTACACTGGTGGCTTATGTTCAGTCCTGAAAAGAAGCAGAAAAGACAGTTTTTGAAAGTTTTCATCCTTTCATCATCACACTACACCCATGCATGTCTCTGATTTCCCCAAGCTGTCTTTGGCACTTTCTAGTTGTTCCTGTGATGCTTGGGCTGTTTGTTTCTCTTCTAAGTGCATGTATAACCATACTCCAGCAATGCCCAGCTCCCAGTGAAATCCCTCCACCCTCCACAGCTAAGCATCAGACCATCCATACGTGAAGCCTGTGTTTTAGATAGCGGCTCTCTGTTGCTTCAATAGTTGCATACATGAGGAAATTTAACTGCTCCTATCATGCGCCCTGATGAAGAGTAACTCCTGTGCTCAACTGTTACTGTTATATTTCAACTCAGTGTTAACAGCATTTCCCATTGCAAGTAGTCCAGGGATTATTTGCTTTCTGATGCTTTAGTTTGTCTTCGTTCTTTAATAAAATGAATTAAATTATACACAAAGTTTAAACCAGCTTCCATTTGCTTGGAGTACTATAAGCCTCTATGCACTGAACAAACTGTAATTATGGGACCTGATTTTTGCTGTGAAAAGATGTATGTTATTTAGATGCCTGTGATACCATAAATTAAAGTGTGCACAGTTATCATAGCAAACAGTGTTGCGGTATATCATAAAAGGAATTGCACCAATATGGAAATAATAGTGTGCCCAGAAGACATAGAATATTGCCTTCATCTTTCTCTACAGTTTTAATATGTGGCTGAAAATCACAGTGCTGTTGCTCTTGAAAGTGCAAAATTCAGTTTAGCAAATTAATTCCAAATGCAGACTTCCTCTAAGAACTTTGTGGTTTTACATCATCTGTTATTTCCATATCTCTCAGAGCCCACAACATAGGACAGCAGATAACTTAGTTCAGATTATTATTCATTGTTTTTAATAGTTTTAACATCCCAAAGGAGGGTGGGATTATTTATCTGCTTAATGGTTTCCAGATTTTTGAGCTGGTAGTTTGTTCAGTTCTCTGGGGAAAAAAAAAACACAACAAAACAACAACAAACAACTGATGGCTATTATTCATCTTTCTTTATTCAAAGACAGTTTTGGGCCTCTGGTTAAATTATTAAAGCAAAACTGCTCAGTACAGGTTAGACTTATTTTCACTTTTTGCTTATCTCTAAGGAGAATTAAAGAATTGTTTTTAAAAGTCTTCCATTGAGTTTCTTACTTTGATCACGCATATTAAAGTGACTACGACTGTATGATCCACATTTTCTTAATGAGTTTTTAAATACAATTGCATATTTTTATATCTGCATGCATTTATCTATGTAGTTATCGGTGCCTTACCCCATTTTAGCCCTGTTTCAATTCTGCCAGCATTACTAGTCCTTCACTATCATCATTACTGGGAAGTCTCTCGCCTTTTCAGAAATTTTATTTGATACAAGTCCGATTTCAGTAGCATAGAGTGCTAAAGAAGCTGTTATTTAAGATGAGAATAGAGGATAAAATTGTTCTGATGATTTAAGACTGCGCTCCTTTGAATAATCAACAGTTGAGTGTAGCTGTATATAAAGTTACTGCTCTTTAGGAGGTGGAGTCTAAGAACAGCAACAGATTATTCCTATAATAAATATCTTGGGGATCAAGTCTTTGGATTAATATAGAGGTTGCCTAGCTTAGAAAACCTGCTCCAGTCTTTCTCTGAAGTGACTTCAGATTTATCCATTCTCATCACAGCACATTCTCAGTGTAGACTATTGTAAGGATCCCTCACCCTGTCACCTGTCACCACCAGGGAGGTGGTTGAATCACCATCCCTGGATGTGTTTGAAAACCATCTGGATGTGGTGCTCAGGGACATGATTTAGCTGTGGGTTGCTAGAGTTAGGGTAGGTAGTATGGTTGGGTTGTGGTTGGACTTGACGATCCTGAAGGTCTTTTCCAACCTGAGTGATTCTATGATTCTGTGATTCTATTCTACCAAAAATAGCAGGAAAAAACTGAGAAATCCAGTGTATATTGCCACCCCTGTATGTTATTATAGAGTAGAAATGAATGCCTCCTTCTTATAGACTTAATCTGAGTTTTACTTAAACACAAAACATGTTCCTAAAGATCTTTCAGTATTCATCACCTAATAATAGTTTTTAAATACAAAATAAGATTTTCTGCAATACTTTCTAACAGGGAAAAAAAAAGGAAAGAAAGAATGAAAGGAAGGAAGAAGGAAGAAGGAAAAAAAGAAGGAAGTAAGGAAGGAAAGAGAAAGAAAATGCAGTGTTTTTCAACCCCCTCACCCTCCTCCTTGTGGATGGATTTAGTCTAATTCAACCCTGGACAACTCGCGACCTCTTTTGGTCAGTGAACAAAATGAGTAAGAGGACAAAAGAAGGCTGAAAACCATTGGTGCAGTCACCTATCTGTGTAGTAAGAGTGACTGGTTTTTTTCCAGAACTTCTTTTATTTCAGTTCCCAAGGAAATAAGTTTTTCTTAACTCTTGCATCTTACTTCTTAAATGCAAAATCGATTAAAAAAAAAAATCTTGTTAGGTACAATGTCTCTTTCAAGAAGGTATCTGGAGGCGTTGTCTGGACAAAGAATGGAAAAAACAACTCAAAGATTTTATTTTAATGATCTATAAATATCTGATTTTTCAAATAGAGAACAGTTTTTGAGATTGACAGGACAGTACCTTGAATGATACGATACGTACTCCATGTTTCTGAACTTCAGTGTTAATGACAAAGGGATTGAAAACAGAGCAAGTTTGGGCTCACACCATTTCCATGATAGAAAATATTTGTATGAGCCAGTATCTCGTCAGCATTATTTATTTTGCTTTGTATGATGAGTGGGCTTTTATGTCAGAAAGACCATATATACATGTTTACCTCACCTTCTCCTTCTGCAACAGGTCTCAGGAGCACTGTGGTGATAACACGTCTGTAATGATCACAAATTCTGGCTTTGTCAGTTCTGATTTTCTCCTTCAAAATTAAGCCAAGAAAAGGAGAGCAAAGTAAGCCAAGCAGAGAGAGGGTGGGATTTGCACTGGCTACAAGCAAAACGCAAACACATGCATTGTGCAAAATTGGGTTTCAGTGTTATTATTTTTCCCCAGATCTGTGAGGATGTTGTAATGGAAAGTGTTTTCTCTGGGGCAGAGGAAAAGGTTTAAGAGTTCAGAGAATGCTTTAGAAAGATAGGGGAGGAGCATCCGCGGGGCTGGAGCACCACATGTATCGAGTCCTGTGCCAGAGGCAGAGAGCATACATGTCTGAGATGTAACATCTGTGTGCGTGTGTCTGTGCGTGTGTGCATTTCTCCCTATTTTCTTAGGAAATGCAGCTGTCATGTGAACTGTAAGCCAGTCCCGTGGTTCACCCAGAATCTGTATGTATGCGTGTGCGAGAGAAAAGATAGGCCTCTCAGCTTTCTGGGGCAAAGCAGGCAAGATTGTGCACTCAGGAGTCCAAAAAAGGGCACTCTCTTTGCTCGTGTATCGTGCTGTACTGGTGCCAAGCGGACACACGGGCACGCAGAGCACTCGCTCTTAAAACAAAAGGCAGACGGAATGCCCTTCTTCCCAGGGCCGTACCCTTAAGCTGATCTCCAAGAACCCGTAAACCCCACGCACGGCCGCAACCACCTTCCCCGCCCCCAGCTCCGTGTCCGAAACCTGCATTTAGCGAGCAGCAGCGCTCCGTGCCGCCTGGTGCCGCTGCTAATTCATGGCGCGGGGCGGGCCGGGGGAACTGCGCTATATAGGCAGGTCCGGGCGGCATGCGAGGGCAGATGGGTGCGGGGTCGGGAAGGCGAGGGGGCTGAAGGAATAAAAAGGGATCTTTACTTTCGTATTTTTTTTTTCCCCCTTCATCTATTTTTTCGCCTGCTCTTTTGCCTTCTTTGTTTTCTCAAGCTTTTTTGGACCGAGTTCTCTTCAGATCGTCTGAGCTTGCTTTCTAAAGGTTGTTTTTTGGGGCTTGTTTTTTTTTTTTTTTCCCCTCCTGAAAGCTTTACAAGTTTTTTTTTTTTTTTTTTTTTTTTTTTTTAACTTTTTTTCCCCGTGTGCGTATGGCAAAAGAAAGCTAGCGTCAAGCCGAGTGGTTGAGGCGCTCTGCAGGGGGGCGGGAAAAGTTGCCTTTGTTCCCGACAAGTTGTTTTATCGCCGAGGGCCGGCGGCTGAAGAGAGGGAACGGGTCGGTGCGCGCGTGCCCGGAGCGCAGCCTTCCACCCTCGCCGTGCCGCTCGCGCTCCGGGAGGCCGGGGCCTCGCCGCCCCGCGGCTCTTCCGAGGCGGCGCGGGCTGCGAGCGCGCCACCGCGCCCCTCCGCTCTCCGAGGCGGCAGGGCCCGCCTTCGGCCGGCGCGGCGCTCCGGGCGAGGAGGGGCGGCCCGGAGCTCCCCGAGCCCCGGTCTCCCCCTCGGCCGGAGCTGCGCGGGGGCGCCTTCCGCCGCTCCCCTCCGCCGGTTGCCATGGTGCCGCGGCCCGGCGTGCTGTGGGCAGTGGCCGCGGCGGCGCTGGCGCTGGCGGGCCGGCGGGCGCTGCCGGCGCCGGTGGTCCGCTGCGAGCCTTGCGACGCGCGGGCGCTGCAGCAGTGCAAGCCGCTGCGGCCCGACTGCGCCGAGCGGGTGCGGGAGCCGGGCTGCGGCTGCTGCCTCACCTGCGCCCTGCGCCTGGGGCAGCCCTGCGGCATCTACACCGAGCGCTGCGGCGCCGGCCTCAACTGCCGGCCGCGGCGAGAGGAGGCGCGGCCGCTGCAGGCTCTGCTGGAGGGCCGCGGTCTCTGCACCAACGGCACGGCGGGCGACGAGCTGCGGGCCTTCCTGCTGCCGGCACCGCACAGCGCGGGTAAGGGGCTGCGCCTGCGGGCGGGGGCGAGGGAGAGCGACGAGGCTGCGGGCGGGCGCGTGCGGCGTGCCGGTCGATTCGCCCCGGTTCTTTTCTAAGTTCCGAAGTCAGGCACGTAGGCGAGGAGGGTCGGGCGGCGGGGGAAGGCGAGGCCGGCGCCGCCTGCTGCTGCGGCGCTTCTCGGCGGCCAGGCCGGTGCGGCACAAGCCGCTTGGCTTTTTGTCCTTCCGAAGCGTTACTTGTTTTCTTCGCTTTTAAGTAGCTGTTCAGAGAAGAAGCCGAGTTGCTCTTCTTAAAAGAAGTCTAAGGGGGAAGGAAGGAAGGAGGTGGCGTGCTGCCCGCCTGGCTGCGTGAGGCTGTCAGGATGAGGGACTTTCTTGCGGGGCTGAAATCCTTGTGATCTGTCACTGGTGTTCCTGGAAAGAGGGTGCGAAAACGCTGCAGTGTGGGCTGACTCCTGCGGCGCGGGGATCTCGGGGGAACGCTAAGCCTGGGAATAAAATAACTTGAAAAAGAGAACGGAGTGAAGTATTTCCCTGAGCCTTGGAGGTCGTTATTAAGAACGAAGCATTCGCATAGCGGTGAGAGGATGCTGCTTTTCTCTGAGTTGCAAATCAGCTTTTGGTCAAACAAAGCTTTCCCGTGCCTCTTGCAGTGAGGCATTCACAGAGCAGGTTCTGTTTGGCTTGAAGAGGAAGAGATGGTTGGAAAAAGTTCTGTTAACGTGCATATTTAGAAACTTAAGAGACAGGAAGACCTGGGTTTCAGATCAAGAAAGCACAGTCCCCCTCTGCAAGTATTTCATTAAACTGTTTGCTAACCAACAGCAAGTATGTTAATATTTATTTAATAGAAAAAGTGTGTCAGAAGTCTTTCCACCGTTTGCCCTTTTTAAAAACGAGGGGTTTTTCTGCTAGGTTACAGGAACTCTTTGACTGGCCTTTCCTTAGCTGAGGAAGTGGCACCCGTGTTTCAGTTAAAAACTGGCTGCTGTGAGAGTAAGACATGCGTTATTATGATTACTTATGTGCTGCTGCCAAGCTGTGATGCTTTGAGCGAGAGTTCAGAGGTGCTTACTGAAGTTCTAAATCTCATGGGAGCATGGAGCAGCTGCCTTCGTCACACGAACGTTTTGACTCTTCATTCTTCACGTGATTTGACAACAGTGGGTACTCCTCAGTACCTGGAACTTGGTGTTGTTTAATGCAGGGCAGTGCAACAACCCCTAGAGGAAACAGGGGAAAGAGGCCTGGTGAAAATACTTCCTTTTTTTATATAAAGTAGGCAGAATATTGAATTCCTGTTTTGCATTCTTGGCATACAGAGAACTCCTATTTTGAAATAAGATGTTTTGATTCCTTAAGAAGTGGGAAGTAGGTCCCATACAGTTCACATTCAGGGCATGACGATGGAAAACTCTGGGTGCAAGAAAGAAGCTGAATCTGCATGATGATATCACACACTGTGTCCACCTCTTTGTAGGTGCTGTTCCAATTTCATTGCTAAATCCAATGCTAGGGAATTAAGATTCTGAGGTGGTACTGTCTGTCCTGGAGCAGGATAGCATCTTCTCTGCATGGCTAGGCCCTGCATTAGGTGCTACACTTTGATCATTAGGAGCGATTGCTAGAATTCTGTGGCTAGTGTGTATTATAGGAACTTCTTAATACCACCTAAAGTAGGCTCCTACTTTCATGGTTCAGATTTTGGGGCACTAAAGCGATAATTATATAGAACGCTTATATAGAAGCCTTCTAGTCTCTTTTTGAGAGAAAGCAAATAACTTGAGTAACAGTTTTGTTTCCACTACAACGGGGTGTAGAGGTGATATGGAATGGGGTCATGTAGAATAGAGTTAATTGAATACACTGCACAATTTAAAAAGTGGAATTAGGACAATTCTAAACTTAAGTATAAGAAATGCCATCAATGCATGATGGTCTGTTGAAACTGTGGATAGCCTGGTGACTACTTAATGTGCAGTTTATTTAATTTTTGATATAGCTGATAAACTTATATCTGAATGTAGAAAACCTATTAGGTGTAATATTTATATGTAGGAGACCTGAATTTATAACGTTTCTGTCACTTACTGCAGACTTCACTGAGAATGTGGAAAAAAATCATTTCAAGAAAGAGACATTGCACTGCAGAAATGAGTTGGGAGTATGATTTAACCATCACAAGCTTGGAAATCTTATATTTAAGACTTGAACTTCCTATCCATTTGTGCTAGGAGCTGGATTTTCTCTGTCAGTTATGTCTTTTGCTATCAGTAGCTACACTAAGACCCCCAGTACCAAGATGTTGACTCTGATCCCTCCTGCTCGTTTTCCTCCCCAATGCTTGTGTATTGCCAGTGGAACAATACTTTTGCACTGGATTTCTTGGCTTGTCTAGTTTTCCAATGAGCCATCAAGTGTAATTTTAATATAGGTTTTCAGGATGTTTCTTGTGCATCAGTTGTTATTGTGCAACCCCAGTATGATTTCTTTCTTCTTATCATAGCTGACAGGTGTCCATCCTGTAGAGGAAACAGAGCCTTTTACAGTTACATTGCAAGAGCCTTAAAAGAGAGAAATGCAGTGTAGGCAAATACTTCATGAGGTGCAGGAACACTGGACTTATGCAATATTCTGGAAAAATGCATTTCTCCTCTAGCTCCACGAATGATAAAACTATCACCAAAGAAAAAGTATTTTTGAGGCTTGTATTGAAAATAGATGTTTAACCTCTGATACTACTACAGAATGAATGGCTTTTTTCTCGGCCATTACCCTTAAAAGTGTATTTAGAACATCATGAGATATTTCCATCCCTCTCTTATTAAAATCAGAAACACTTTTTCTCCTGTACTGTATGTGGAGAACAGCAAAGAGGAAAAATGGTGTTAAAATAATTAACTAGTACTCTCAGGCTCAGCATGGTAGAAACTTTGCAGCGAGGATTTTCTTTTCGTTAATCTGCTAGGGGAGATCATTAGTTGCTCTCTATCCAGTAAGTTTCCCAGATCAGATATATTCGAAGTTGTTTAAATCTGCTCTGGGTCAGAAGTACATGATTTGAGTGCTCTGCATGTCCCATGTTGGTTGGGCTGCTAACAGCTCTGACTCGGGGCCAAGTGCTGGCAGCACTCTGCATGTGGCAGACCTTCTTCCTTCTGCCAGGAAAGGAAACCAGTGAAGAATGAGGACTGAGAAACCTAGGCAGTAGTGGTTTGCAAATAGTTGGAAGTGAAGTGAATATAAATAGTTCTCAAGTGATTAAGAAGGCAGCATGTTTTTTAGAGGCATCCAGCACAGGTGTTGGAATGACATAGTGCCAGGAGGGAAGGGAGACTTTAGTTAGAAAATTCATTGCAGTTCTTTACAGTTAGCAGTGAAGATGCTAATGCTTACAGAATACGAATTGTTAGGTGTTATAAACGTTTTTATAAAGAAAAACTAAAGTTGTAGATGAATTCAGTGGTCTGTTGCCCTTCCAGACTCAGCTGATAGTCAATTAACTTTGTTTCTTCACTGAATTTGTTCTTTTCAAAGGAAATTCTGGTGATTCAGAGGAAGACAGGAGTACCAGTAGCTTAGAAAATCAGGCCATCCCAAACTTGCACAGAGTGCCAGATTCAAACTTGCCTCCACAGCACATCAGACTAGATATCATCAGGAAAGAACAAGCCAAAAATACCCAGCGCTACAAAGTGGAATATGATTCACAAAGTACAGACACACTAAATTTCTCTTCGGAAACCAAGCAAGAAACTGAATATGTAAGTAAATTCTGTAAGTGGAAAGATGTTTTCCTACTTCTGAACGTGTACCTGTGTGACTGTATCTGCATGTTGTGTTTCAACAAAGTAAACAAGAAAATAACCAAAATGGTTACATTTGTTGTACTCATCTAAAGCATTCTGACTGTTTTGCAATACAGCTGTTCAGTCTGCAAATGCAGACAAGCAGCTGACCAAACAGATCATATTCAGAAGACAAAGAGGCCTAATGCACTGGTGTTTACGTTGATATGAATATGTTTTTCACAAAATAAGTTCTTAGTGAAAGTACTTGTTTCCACCTGTTTCTGTCAGTGGACTCCAGACAGGTTTAATAGTGTCACTGTCTGATGAATGTGGTTGCAAAAAGCATTATTGGGGGTTTGTAATAATGGAAAAAAGGAAGACACTGCATATTCAGTCTCGTGATGTTTTGTTTGCACTCTGTGGAGCATTAGTGCAGTTTGAAGGACTAGGGTATGGTTGTCCAACCTTCTGACTGGGATGCATTGAGCAAAGAGGAATTGCTCTGGGCTGCATATAAAGTAAGTAATAGATTTAATGTGTGTGAGTTACAAAGCTATGTTTTAATTAAAAAAGCATAAAAAAATACAGAGCAACAAAGACATCAAACTAGCGGGATGTTTGATCCAGTATTTGTGAAACTGGTGCATCAGGCTGGTTTGATGGCAGTGGTTGCCATTCCTAGTCAGTTTTGTAAGTGTTCATCAGAGATTTTTGATGCAATATTACTCTTCCTGTGCTTCGTTTTTGAGAATAATTTTTCACAAATGTACATACTGACAAAAAGTGATGACATGAATAAGGCAAGACTGTGAAGTGAGGAATATTTTTCTCTGGTAAGAGAGGGTTTATGAAACTGTGGTGAAGATACATTCTCAAATCTTTCTTGAGTTGAATCTCTGATTGCAACTCTATACATTACTTGCAAATAGTCCCATAGAATGTATTTATGTTGACTGAAAATAGAGTCGGAAAATCAGGAAAAAGTGATTTTTTTTTTTGAAGTCTTGAAACGTATTCTCAAATTCCTTTATAAAAACTGGAAGCATGGCTGCATGTTATTCACTGTTCACAGATTGTGTTTAGCCAATGTATCAAAATGCATGAATGCATTATTTGCCATAGCTTGAGCCTGCCATAATTTAAGTTTCATTTCAAACACTGTTGTTGTCTGAAACATAGTACAGATAAAGTGATTGTTCACCTTGAAGATGTGTGTTTAACTCACTTAAATGAGCAGTCAAATCCAACCAAAAATACTAAATCTGAGAGTCATTTTTAGCTTTCACTTTTTGGAACAAATATCCTTTTTGATCCCTTAAAGGACTTGATTTCACTTTGTGGAGTCTACTTAGCAAGTTACCCCAACTTAGCCACCTTCAGAAAAGTAAATGATGACCCCCCCATAGTCAGCATCCTTACTTTTAAGGAACTCCTAGAATGGAGTGATGATTCAGTCCCTTGGACTTCATGAAGTTCACAGGTTTGTTGACAATTTGCATGATGCTATCTGCTTTACATCTTTTGCACATAAATTTTCTTGATGCCTGATGCAGTGAGAGTTATTCAAATGCAGTAATTATTTTTATAAGCCCCTCATTTTTACCAGCCTTCATGGGGCATCATTTGAAGCTGTACCAGTTACATTGACGAAAGTCAAAGAAAATGGCTTTAATGTACTTTTTTTACTGCTTTACAAAAACCAGGAGACTGTCGTGTCTTTCAGTGGCACCAAAGGAGCTGTTTCTTCAGCAACATTATATTTGCTGTCAGTACCTGTAATAAAAATGGCAAGTTGAGCCATATCTGTAACATCAGTACTTTCCTATGTTGCCAAAGCATAAAATTTGAAAAGCAGCTTTACTTTCCAAATTTCATTCAGTACGTAGTTCCTTTTTCTTCAGTTCGCTTGGCTTCAGTCTGATAAGACAAACTGATTTTAGAAAAGTCTGTTTTTATCTATTTATACTTTCCCTATATTGCTTAACAAACTCATCATCAGGAAATAGTGTTTTTGTTTTTTTTTTTGCAGACAGATTTGCTATCATGTAACTAGTTATAACAGAGTCCATTTGAGTTTTAACTTCTTTAAAATCATTTTGTTGGAATGACACTTTTCAGTTCTGCTTTTTTTTTTTTTTAATGAAGCATTCAATAATCAGGTGGCTGGAGGACCTCCCATAGGGGGGCAGGTGAGAGAACTGGGACTTTCCAGCCTGGAAAAGGGAAGGCTCTGCAGGGACCTCATAGTGGTCTTCCTAGTACCTGCAGGAAGGAAGGCTGGGGAAGGACTCCTTACGAGGAAATGTAGCAGCAGAATAAGGGATAATGGCTTTAAACTGAAAGGGTACATTAAGACTAGCTAGTAGGAAGAAATTATTTACTATGAGGGTGGTGAGACCCTGGAACGGTTGCCCGGAGAGGTTATGGGCACCCTGGAGACATTATAGGCCAGGCTGGATGGGGTTTTGAGCAACCTGGAGTAGCGGGAGGTATCCCTGCCTATAGCAGGAAGATTGGAACTAGATGATCCTTCAAAGGTTCCTTCCAACCCAAAGCATTCTGTGGTTCCTTGATATGCATTGAATTTGGCAGTGTGTTTCTGCATTCAATGTCTTTTCAAATTTTATTCTTTGAAGACTGGTGGAGTGAGTCAATAATGTGCTCAGGGAGGAGTATGGCTAAACACAGAGTATGCAGGATGTGATTCTTGAATTCTGTTCCTGCTGCTAATGTTGACTGCTTTCCTGGCTTCTGGTAAAACTTTAACTCCTCTTTTCCTAGTTTTCTGACTGCAAAATGGGGCTGGTAACACTTTACACTCTGACCATTTTGGGCTTCAGTGAGTAATAATTAGTTGAGGTTTGAGACATGTTTTAAGAAATGGTTCTGGAAGTTCTTATCTCATTGCCATAGAGCTAATCCACACTATGTTATTGTCTTTGTTTTACAGGTAAACTAGTGCAAAAAATTACATACTTACATGATGAAAATGTCATGTGCAACCATTCATTTGTATGACTGCATTCATTTGCGTGATTGCATCCGTTTGGTTCAGCTGAAATTTGGAATTGTTATCCAAAGTCACAGTATACTTATGAACACATGTATAGCATGCCAAACTGCTCATTTTCAATTTAGTATGTTTTATTTGATCCTTTAAATCCAGAAGAGTTACAGAAATCAAGTGGCACTAGGGAAGGTTTGCCAAGTGTTGTATTTCCAATTGCTTATGTTGTTCTTTTCCTGCTTGATGAAGATCTGTTTTTTCCAACTTAAATTGTGTTACATATGACTGATGGACATACAGGCTGTCTTTTACATATATGTGGATGTGATTTCAGCTGGAAATGCCACTGTGTGTGTGCATGTTATGTGGCCTTCAGTGTTGAGAGGATATCAGAAGTTAGAAATTATGCTTTATCTTGAATAAAGCATAATCAGAATTTTTATCTGTGAATGGTTTGCTTTTTGGTATTTCCTTTGTTTTAATGGATTTGTTTGGTTTAATGCATCTTAACCCTTTGAAGTTTTATTAAGTCTTGTGTGAAAGACAGCATTTGGGAATAAAGTTTCACCTGTGTTTTCTAAAACATGCTCATTAACAGGGTCCTTGTCGCAGAGAAATGGAAGACACTTTAAACCACCTAAAGATCCTGAATGTCTTGAGTCCCAGGGGTTTCCATATTCCAAATTGTGACAAGAAGGGATTCTACAAGAAAAAGCAAGTAAGTATAGTGTCTTGATTGCTTCAGTGAATACATTTCACTTTTTCTGCATTGTTCTGATCCTTCTGCTCTTACCAGGAAGGTGTTATGTATCATTTTACAGAGGAGCTGTTCTAATTCACGTTTTAGGTTCTGATGTGATACTGTTGAACCTTGTTAAGTGGGGGTAGTGTTTTTATTTTCTGTTCTGCTTAATCTGTTGCAGATTAATTTGAGAAACTTTGTGCCTAATCACACAGGGGTTGACCATTGTGCTAGATATTAATGTCCTTCAGTTTAAAAAAAGCAGTGGCTCTGTAATAACCCATGGAGCTAAATGTTGCAGTCACCATATGACTGCAATAGATCAATGCTTTGAATTGTAAATAACTGCTTGAAAGTTCCTAGAAGAACTGCACTGGATTATATTACAAAAAGCAATTTGAGAAAGACATGTGTCTGTCCTTTATGTGCTACACAGATCGCTTCCAAAATCCAGGTCATGTTATCATGAAAGTGATACATCTAGTAGTTGCTGTGCAGCAAAGATGGCCCTCCTTGGTTCTCCATTTACATTTGGCTTCAAGGTTGTGACCCTTTTTCACAAATGCAGACCTCTACAGGTATTCCTGCTTTAGTTGTACTGCAGCAGTGTTCTCCATCCAGAGCTGCCCTGGAAGCTCATTCAATCTTGCAGAAGTGCAAGATGCAACAGACTGTTTGCTTTGTGTGCACATCTCTTCTAATTCTTCCATTTAGTTAGTGATGTGTCTCTGGATGTATGTACTGATATAATTCCAGAATTTCCTGATCTCCAAAGATGCAAGATTTTCCTGATGGTAAACCTCTGTTGTAACTACAGATCTTGTGAACTATTTTCTCTCTCCCATTTGTGTTTATTACGAGTCAGCCTCTTTAGCTGTGTTAACTAAGAGTGGCTAAGTGTGTTAAGGTCTGATGCGGTTTGTAAGCTAACCTCAGTGCAGACCACATCATTTTAGGAGTGATATCTCCTCATTGTTTGTTTCTAGCTCTCTTAGAAACAATGTTAGGCTTTCAGATATTTCATGATGCTCTGCAATTAGCTTGCAGTGTCAGGTGGGCTTTTTGAAATCGGGATGAGTTTACCTTGTATTGTATAACCTTGGCTGTGTGCTGCTGAGCTTATCTACACTCCCAAGCTTTTTCCAAAGCTGATGGCAGTAACTCCCATGCAGGGAGAATTTGCTTCTGAAGTTTTGAGAGCCCACTGTCAATTCATGTCTCATTGCCTGTAAATTAACAGATAGCAGTGCTCAAATCCCAGTCTGCATTTGTTCAGGAAATTCCATGGACTGCTATATGAGCTTCTCTGTAGAGCAAGGATAGAACTGTCTTGCTGATGTGCCATGCATGCATATGTTTAGCTACTTCAGAACAGCATGTCACTTAACTGCATCGAAGACATGTAAGTGTATCGTAGTCCTTATTCTTCTCTGGGTATTACAGAAGACCACAGATTGGTATTTACTTTGTTGAGGAGATAGTTTTAGTTCTATCACAAAAAAGTGGTGGCTTGCATATTTTCTCTGGTGTGTACATGTAGTAGATCAGATCCATAAGAAACACATACTCAAGTGCCTTACTGCTCAGTCATGGCTCTGCCACTGAGGCAGAAAATGAATTGAATTAGAAGTGGGAGGGGTGGGGGGAGAAGGGGGAGGAAATAGAAGATGAAAATATGGAAGATGAAAATGTAGATACACTTTTCTAGTCTTTAATCCTTTAAGTTCATTTACCTAGAACGAGGTGTTGGTACAGAGCAAAGAAACTTCTGTGCTGTGTGTGGTCTCCATGCTGTTTGGGGTCTCAAATAGGTTTAGAAAAGGTGGTTGCAACAGCCCACCAGGTCAGCAAATATAAATCTTGAAAGGGTACTTTCATATGTGGCCAACCTTGTCATCCACTGTGCCAATCTGTACAAGTCTCTGTAAGCTGCATGGTAGTTTGCGACAGCACAGAATCTTGTAAGAAATGTCTGCAAATTGAGCCAATGTGAGTAAATATGTATAACAGTTTGAATGTTCCTACTCTAAATGAATTGCTATCAACCACTGGCATAGGCCTTCACAGCTAGTGCTTACAGGAGCAGGCTGCTTCTCACATGAACAAAATGTAAAAGAATAATAATGTATTTCAGTTACCTTTGATTAATTAACTCCTAGGAAAGAAACATCAGATGGAGTAAGAAGTGAGTTCTGGCCACACTGAATTTACTCTCTCCAAAACTGTACAGCAGTTTTATTTGTTTTTCTTTATGGAGCCTCAGAACTTAGACCTGATGTTTTTGGGAGCCACAAGCAGATATCTAACCTGATTAAGCAAACACTAGACTTTTGTTGATTTTTTTTTTTTTTTTTCATTGCTACTATTAGCAGCATTCAGTCCATAATTCATTTTATATTTTGTTGTGACAACAAAATTTAGAATAATTTGTTAGGAAATAGACAGTAAATCCATCACAAAAGGAGTGTCAGTTATGCATTTTTAATTCTAGAAATGACTGATGAAGCTTAGGGTATTCATGTATGTGTGTGTGATGAGGTGGTAGGAATCTGTTAAAAAATGCCTCCTGAATGAGATTTTATGATCATAATTTATGTTGGTATATTTTTCTTTCCTGGCCACTTGCTTTTGCAGTCAAGTTGAAAGCAAGTACTTTTCTTGACATTTATCGATGTGTTGAGATGGACTTTTCAGGAATAACCATAGGAAGTAATTTTCAACAATTTCAAGGATCTTATTTCATCTGTTATGTAACAAAAATCATTATAGACCTTGTTTTATGTATAAACTTTTTAAAAATCAAGCATACTAAATATCTTAATGAATCACACATGTAAGCCTGCGCTATTCAAGTATGGTATGTAGCATGTTTACATAGACTAACTTAATATGGGCACGTTTCTGCTTTGATACTAGAATTATTGTCCTGTATTTGTATACCAGATATTCACCTAAATGTGAGCTGGAATTGTTCCACTGAAAGCAGAGCTGGTCTTGGCAGGAGCCAGCACAGCCTGAAGTGGACGTCAAGGCTGTCTGTGCTGTTCCAGGAGACCACAGTTGTAGCTCTACAGAGACCTCTGGGCTGATCAGGATTCCACTGGGATACCATATGTTCTGGTGTGCCCCACAACTGCTTCTGTGGTATGTCTTTGTGGAGAGCAGAGAGGCAGGTGGCATGAAGCTGGCAGCTGGTGCTGCTATCGGAAGTAACTATTGACTCCACTGCTTGGGCAGTTTTCCAGCTTTTTTTGGACTTCTGAAGTCATACAGAAGGCAGAGCTGAGAAATGTATGTTGAGTACAAAATGCATACTTATTCCATACAAATTGTGCACCATTTCAGTAGGGAATGCTAACAAGCTTTCATGATAAACATAGCATTTGAATCTGAAATGCTTTTCTTTTGACAGTATTGTTGAGCAATAATATAAAGTCATGGGACTGCAAATGGTCGTTATTTTTTCCTCAGTGTTATTTCAGCTGTGAACCTAACTCAATCTATGGTTTTCGTTTTGAAGTTGCTATTGTTAATTCCACAAATTGAGTATGCAGCTGTAAAAAGCAATCCAGACCTTCAACAATATGAGATAACTTCAACTTATTTGTTTTGACAGTGATATAAGCCTATGAACCAGTTGAGAGTTGTGTAATATACTTCACATAATACTTCTAAAAGGGGAGGCTGCATTGCTGTTATTAGTGGAAGTTTAGTTTAATTGCCAGAGAGACAGATCAACAGCAAGAAGTTAGCACTCTAGTTTGGGCTCCATCTGTTACTGCACTCTTGGTAAAAAAAAAAAAACTACAGAATTGCTTCCTCAATTTCCTTATTTGTAAAATGTAAATGATGCAAAAGCAGCTGTTTACAGATTACTTGATACCAAGCAGAAAGGATTTAGTATGCTGAACGTTAATATCAATTAAGGTATAGCCAAGTCCAGTTACCACTAAAACTAAAGAAAAAACAATCCTGTTCGTATCATGACGTTTGAATGGCCATTCACTGAAATCTTAGAGAACATGGACAAATACTGGTCTGTTTTTTGAGACAACGTATGATTCTAAGATTTACTTCGGTTTCGTATTTAAAGATTTGATGCAGGAGGCCAACCAAAAAGGTGACTAAAATTAACTAAAAGCTAACATGCAGTTCAAATTACTCATGTAGCTGTTTTCTCAACAGGCTGGAACTTTTTCACTCTCTCCTTTAAAAACAAAACAAAAAAATGTAGCTTAAGGTATATATATGCAAGAACAACTTTCAGTTACAGTGATGAATGTTGTTTAATTTACTCTAAAGTAAGTCCAGGTGAAAACTTGGGTTTCTGCCAAGGAGAAATGTTCAGAGATTTGGTCTAATGTGTGATCTGTTCTCATCTGTCTCTAACAACTTCATAGCGAGTGCTGTCTGTGCTAATCTTTGCTGCCAGAAACTACTTGACTTAAGGGCCTGTCTGCTGGTGCAGGCTGTCCCCAGGAGTAGCCCATGTTCATACTTTCTGATATACCACTTTCACCTGAGGTCCTAAACTAGGCTTCAAAATGTCAGAATCTGTGGGCAGCATACAGTGCACAGCATGTACTTGAAACTTCCCTATGTGCCCATGCATGGGAAACACATTAGCTCTGAGGATCACTGACATGGGAGAGGAGGGTGTGTATGAAACTCTGAGAACAATGCGGAAGAGTTATAGTAGAAAGTTTACCTGGCCTGTAATAAATCTACAGCTGGTACCCAGAATAAACTTCTGAAATCCTTGAATTGCTGTGATCTCAGGTGTAGCATTTACTTTGCTTGTATGATAGCCTTTACAGTATTCTGTCTGGTGCATTCATTTTCACACAATGGTACAACAGATGAAACCCCATCCTTTGAAAAGCTAGGTGTGTTTGTTACCACTTCTGCTGGAGTCAGGATTCTTTCTGTCATTACTAAATGTCCTTCTCTGTTAGCATTTGCAGTGAATCCTCTATCATCAAATCTAAGCAACTGGATGTAGGTGGAGGCTCTGTCTTAGCAAAGAGGTTGACAGTTGGAGATTCTGCCCAGTAGACACATGCTTTTTTGAAAGGATGAAGACCTTGCAGAGTTTCCTTTAGGCTGAATTGTATCCAGGGTTGCTCACCAAGCGTAGTCTGCAATGTCATCTTCTTTAGTCTAGCTCTTATCGTTCTTGGTTTCTTGGGAAGTGTGTTAGTACAGGGTAGATTTTTATCTGCTTTTATCACGTTACTATTTCTGAAGAAGTTCAGCATTGTGTCTATTTGATGCTAATTTCAGGTTGGTCAGTTTGTTAACAAATGCTACTATGCAACTGATTTCTGACAGTGGTGTAGGTTGTAGACTAATATAGTTCTAGATCACTTAGCAGTTGTTGAAATAAGAGCTCAGTTTCAGAAGGATTGCATATCTGTTAACATAATACAAATGATGGTATTGATATTCCTTCAGAAAACAGATGCAAACCAAGGCTGTTTGTTGCTGCAAGAGCAGTCTTTGCCAGACTTGTGCTTCTAGAGTAGAACAAACCTCTTGACTTTTGTTTCCAAAGATGGGTCCAAGTCAGTGACCTGCATGGTTGTAAGTAGTTCTGAAATTCAGCAGGCAACAACTGTGTTGCTTAATATAATAGGGAGTAGTGCATTCTTCTGTTTTCTGGTAATTCTTGGAGCACTTTTATTATTCATAATTAGATACAAAATGGTTTATGGGTGAAGTCTTACATTAGGTATTGTACTGTTAAACTTTTGTAGTGGTGTTATGTCTTCAATTTGATTCTAGAAATGTCTTCCAGCAAATCTTCCGTTTGATTCTGTATATGGCTAGAATATAGCAATGCTATATTCTAACAAGATTCCTGCTTGTCATAACAACAGGAGCAGAATAAAACAAAATATGTTAATTAGGTGCTACATTCTGTTGCAGTGTCGTCCATCCAAAGGCCGAAAAAGAGGTTATTGCTGGTGTGTGGATAAATATGGACAGCCGCTTCCTGGATATGATGGCAAAGGAAAAGGAGATGTCCACTGCTATAACTTGGAAAGCAAGTGAGGGCTGAATGCCAAGCTCTTCTGGCATCTGTGTGTGACAGCTGGACCTAGCAGAGACCTCGGAGGGAAGTACTGCATTTTGCAAGGCGTTATGGTCTCTGCTTCCTGTCTGTCTCCTGTGGTGGCTGGGGGGATCCAGGCCTCTGTGGGTTCTGCAGCTGTACCTGGCCACTGATACGTGTGGAGCTTTCTATAGAACGTGTAGGGAGCTCTGAATTCCCATGAAAACCTGCACTATTGACACCAAGAGAGAAAGAAAAACACAAGGCACTTCAGAATGGATTCAGGGAATTTCCACTGACCTCTTAAAAAATGGCTTGTGGCCAATTTGATCCTGAGAGATTGTGGTTTTAATTTGAAAGAATTCATAGATTGAAAACTTGTTTAAAAAAAAGAAAATTAATAAAGCAACTACAACAAGGAAAAGTAACACACGAGGATTTAAAGAATAGGGATTTTTTTTACAGGTCTGACTTATCTTCACGGGTAAAATGTTTTATAAAAATTTCAAAGAACTTTTTAAGAGACATATTTCTAAAATAAAGACATGACTATTTTTTTCTGTAAAGTGTATTATGAATATTCTGTTAGTCTGTATTTAATATAATTGTTTTAAAATAAACTTATTTAAATATGTAACATATGAATACCAAACTAGACAATAATTCTAGTGTATACTTCTGTATGCAAAGAGAAGGTAAGAATATGGGATGATTTACAAATGTGTATAGTTCCATGTGTATACACACTGACCTATTCTAGATATTAGAAATGAACTTGTGGAGTAAAGGAAGTGTTTCCAGAAGGGATTGTTTGTTATATGAAGTAGGTACAAATACCATAAAAATCTTCTAAATTTTGTTTATTGCATTGGTATTTCTGATGTACCCATCACTGAATTATGCCACTGGAGAAATTAACAGTTGCACTGAAGCTCTCTATAAAGCATTCATTCTTCATCCGTCCTTAGCTTCAGTTTTTGCAACAAGGCTTTTGTTTTGTCTGTTTCCTTCAGATCTCCTCATGTTAGTATAAAATGTTTATAGACAAAAAATTGCCATTACAGTACCAGCCTCTCTGTTTGCTGACTTAATTTTAAAAACTGTGTCTATTCTGTGTTGTCTTAATATACTCTATCAAAGCACACATTGACTATGAGGAGCTTATGTTTGATGTTTAAAACAGTGCAAATGAGGGGATTATGTACTTGGCTGTTGAGACCTGTGTGCTTTGTTTCTACTACACGTAATAGTTTTTCTCCTTTGACTTTGATAGAAATTATTTGCCTGTATTTAAGAACAGAGTGAGAACCACAGTTTAAATATCCAAACCACCTGCCAAGACATCATATGTCCTTTCATTGAAGATAGATGTTTTGGTTTTATTCTGATAGGTGATGCTTTTATATAAAGGAGTCTTTGGCAATTTTGCTTTTTGTTTTGTTTTGGTTGATGGTTTATTGAACTTCATGGGGAAAAAAAACAACTGTATGACAATGAAATCTGGATAAGGAAGGGTGGCCTGTGAAGTGTACCAGCTCTCTGGAAAGTAATGCCATACTTTGTATATGTATTTATTTATATATTTTATATAAATATCCTATATATTTATATAAATATATAATATATTCTTGTATGTGTTGCTATAAATGTTTGATGTCAACATAATTAAAAAAACAAACAAACAAAAAACAATTACATCATCATTGTAATTTCCTTTTGGGTTGGGAGTTTGATGGAGGATGAGAGCAGTACTCTCATGTGCCTTTCCAACTATTGCAGCCGGTGGTTGTGCTGATGGATGGGATACCATGAGATCAAAGAGCCTGTTCCTCTCCCACCCTGCAAGTTATAGCAGTCCTTTTTTCATGCCAGCACTGGCAAATGTCTTGAAAATCTGATGTGGAAAGATTTGGGTACACAGCTTGCAGGGTCAAAATGGCAATCACTTCAAACCAGGTGTTTAAAGTTTTACCCTGAAATGTATTAGCTACCCTGTTTGAATTCTTTGCATATTCCTAATTTATATCCAATGAAATGAGTTCTCATCACTGTTAAAATTTAAACCTAACAATAAGAATATAGGGCGTGTGAAGTTTACTTAGTCCAGACTTATACAGGCTTCTTGGTGGATGGGATGGTTACATTGAGCTTTGTGAGTTGAAGATTTACTGCAATAGTTTTACTACTACTGCAAATATAATGCCTGCAAAGATTTGTTGGCTAAACAAATAAATAAATGAGTTCTTTTCCTTTTTTCTTTTCTTTTGAGTTGTAAACCAGTTCATTTCAAATACATACACATGGAGAGTAAAATTATATTAAATTATATTTAACAATGTTTGGTCGTGTAATAGGCGATAAGTGTTGGATTCATAAAAATGAGTTATTAGTCTCCCCTTTTTTTTTTCCATCTCTATCTCATGAGCCCTCTGAGAAAGGAAAAGAACCTCTCACCTTTTTGTTACCTGTGATTTCAAGCTACACCATTCAGAAATTGCCTGTAAGTATTCCTTAGGAGCACAATCACTTGCACTAGTATTGGGACACTTACTGTTTTGTTCATGTTTCCGGTAGCTGGCATTTTTGGTGTTAAATAAAAAATAACTTTATTTCCCCTGCAGGATAAAGAAGATCAGTGGTAGTTTAGGTTTTTTGTATTTTTCTTTTTAATTATTAACATTTGTATTTTTAACATTTGTATTTCTATGAAAACAAGGGTTCAGGTCAGCAGACAAGTTGCGCATCATTCAGAGATTTATTTTGTCATGGCTGTGGGAGTCAGGCTGCAATTCAGGCAAGATTATTTATGGGCTACGTAGGGTGTGGACAACATGGAGCAAATGTATGGGTCAGCATCAGTTCAGAGGAAGATCTCTTCCTGCGTGCACAAGTGAGAAACATTCCTGCAGTAAGTGCAGGAATTCTTTTGGTCACAGAAATGGAATGTGGAAAGTGCTGGAAAAATACCTGCTGTTTTGGTGCCTTTGCTGCCTTTGGCTCAGGTGCATGTGTTTTTGTTGTTTTGTTTGTTTTTTTTTCTTCAAGTAAACATTTTACAGCATTTTTCTTACTTTTAAGGAGCTCTTTCAAGAATCTTGTGCAATTCACTGTGAAGTCTCATAAAAATCCTTCTAACTTAGCATTATTGACACCTTAAATATTTGCACAGGAAGGTACGCAACAAAAGATTTATGTGTTCTGCAAATCTGGCTTTTTTTGTCTTTTTTTGAGCATATTTCATTTCTAGATGCTACATGGGTCCTATATGTGGCACATATTGATGTGGAAAATATTTGTTTTAACCAGAGCAATAAATAGTTCATAAACCCTCTAATTGGCATGAGTGCGAGTTAAAGTTGATTGCAGGCAGCTCTATTATCTTTTGAACTATTTATTAAAGTTCCCTTTTTCAGTAGATCTGCTGTGCAGCAGTCTTGAACTCAGAATATCCCTGTTCAACTTCTTGGCATGCACACTCTTCAGGGAATATCATTAGCTATTTGTGCACAGGGGAAAGGAGGCTTCAATGAGTACCAAAACCACGGAATTAATTAGTTTTTAGTACAGTCTGGACTTTTTATGACTAAATTCCATAGAAACCTTAACACAGCATAATTCTTTATTGAACTGAACCCTAAATTTAAGTAACGGTTTTATAAATCTTTTGGGAAATCATTTTTTGGTATCTGTAGTTGCTCTAAAACTGGTTCCACAGAGATTTTACGTATTAGCAGTACAAATTATAATTAAAGTATGAAAAGTGCTGAGCAATTTTCATGGATGCCAACACATACTAGTATTCAAAATGAAACATTGCATGAGTAGCTGCTTTGTATGTGCTCCTGCTGAGCCGTTAGGAACTCTTATCTGTTAATATCAGAAGAATATGCTTTCTTTCTACAGTAGAAAACACTACCTCTTCCTCCCCTAGTCTGCATGTTTATTTTTTCCCTTTTTTCTTTTTTTTCTTCCTTTTCTGAGTCTGAAAATAAGATCCAAAAGCTGGTGTTGAGTACTCCAAGGGCAAGTTTTGTGGCTAGTAGCATCTTTGTAAGCTTTGTACAAAACTCATTCTGTTTAAGGGTGTTAAAAGATATTTCTGTATGTCCAGTGGACTGGTGTATGTTCCAACTAGGAGGCATTTAACCTGTCAGGAGATGGTAGCTTAGTGTTCAGAGTTCCAGCACATGGAATTCGTTTGCTTTGTACAACACATCAGTTGAGAAAATACTAAACATTTTTCTGTCAGAGGGAAATTTCCTGATAAAATTGGTTGTTCACTAGAAGAACTTTCAGTTTTAAAATTTTATCTTTTATCATCTTATGTTTTATGATTTCTTGCAGTTCAGCTTTTGCAACTGTGGAAACATGTACACCTTTGTTTTTGGTTTTACCCTGTACATATATTTAAAAATGTAAATGACTTCAAGGCTGAAAGTAGCAGGAAAAAAAAATGGAGTCCAGGTATTAGCAGAAGCAAAGGATAATGCTGCAAATCTCTGTTTATCCTTGCAGAATGCTTGTCCTGAGGTATGCGTCCTGAGTTTCCACTTTTGCTGACCTATCCAAATTCCTTGAGAGCCTTTCTCTGTCATATTGCTAATTTCACCCCACTGTGCTCTCCATGATAGAAAGGCAATAAAGTTATTGCTGCAGAGAGCAGCTGAGATTTCCACTAAAACTTCTGTAAAGCTGAACAAGATGTCATTGGGAAGGACTGTTGTCTCGGCCACATGCAGTGGGACATTGCAGAAGTGGGGTAGTGGAAGAGTTTAGTTATGAGAGCCAGGCTGAGTGTGTATTTCCCTAGCTTCCTGCAATTGGAGGACAGAGGCTATTTTTGTCTGGTTATACCACGTGGAGAATATTCAAGGTGAAGGTGTGTTTCCTGCATCTGCTGCACATCACGTAACTTGCACCCATTTAACTGTCTGAGCTCGAAAAGCTGATTACTGCCTTACCGGGCTGCTGCTTGCAAACTTCAACCCTGAGATCTTGCTACATATTTCCATAGCTATTACCCTGCTAACAGTGACATGCCACTGCTCTTCTTTCCCTGCTCCCTTGCTGAAGCTGAATGGCGAGGGCTCAGCTGTTGAAGCAGCAATAAACAGAAGATGCAGGCCATAACAAAATACAGAAGAAGAAAGCGATGCTTGCTCCCACACCAATCCCACTGGAAATTGCCCCTTTCCCAGGGCCTTTGCATTAGTATACCTGCAGGTAGACTTTGCACCGTAGGAGAGGAGGGAACTCAGCAGAGGGGGAGATGAGGGGAGATAAATAAAGCCCTTGTTTGCTGATAGACCTGTCATCAGAGCTGTTTTCATTAGCCAGTGCTGATGTGTCTGGGCTACTGCTGTACTGTCTGATAATACATAACTAACTGGCAGTGTTCATGTCAGATCTGCTCTTCTTTATCCCCTCATTACTTAAATGTGACTAGGTGATACGTGGTGAAATGTCACCCTACTTCCCTCTACTTCCCTCATTCTGCTATCATGTTATTTGTTGTATGCCATCCACACATGTGCCCAACACAGGTGTTGGTTAGGATACTCATAACTCACATTTTCCTGTGCGTTTTGAGTCTCTGCCTGCTTCTCAATGCAGCACCCAATAACTGCATGAAGTAATTGGTTTATAAAAATAAAATGTTTTTAAATAAAAAGCCTAGGTCCTGTCTTTGCCCCAAGTAATCCTTCCCAGCACTAAACAACATTAATTTTTCCACTTTACCTCAAAGTGGTGAGCTACATACTCGCTCAGTATGGCTGGACACCAATGGTAGGCAGGTATTCTTGGACAGATTTAAGGGAAAAGGTGAGTAGAAAATTTACAGAGTGCAATGACCTCATGTCTTTGCTATGAGCATTTTGCAGTTGGCAATAGGCCAGCAGCAGGAGGAGTGGTTGGAACAAATCCTGCTGCAACAAATATGGCAGGGTTTTGGCAGAAGGAAGCACAGACAAGGTAGTGTTCTCAGATAACATGAACCAAACATTGCAGATGCTTACCTTATACCTTCCCACCAATTAATTTATTTCAAGTGGGGTGGAAGGACTACAAGAGGGTGTGAAGGCAGACAGAAAAAATAACAGGAGGAGCAGTATATTCCCTTTGGACATCCAGCTGCCCTTCAGGTGACCTGAGCTGCTCAGATCATCCTGCAATACCTTCTCTGTTTTCCTAGATATTCCCACAAAGATCAGCTTGCCATCACATTAGGGACTTGAACTATCCTGGATTGTGAGGTGATACATGTTAATAAACAAAATGAAACAAACAAGCAACAAAAACAGCCCCACAGTCAGACAAATAATAATTTAAAAAAAAGCAAAAGGAAATTAAAGATCTTTGATATTTTTTTTCATCCTATTACTGAGACTGATAACAACAATCATGGAAATCACAGTGCACAACATCTATGGCCTAAACATAGGACAGGCTCCTTGCAGAACTCCCAAGGGGAGAGAGAACTTGCATTCTTTGCCTCCTTGCATTAGTCCTAATCCCAGTATGCAGAAGAGTCAGGCCTAAGTCAGGCAGCCCAGCCTAGAGCAGTTCATCAGAGATCTCTCCTGAGTCCTGGCAAGATATCACACAAGGCCAGATAAGGAGGCACCCATCCCCTGCTGTTTTCATTAGGATGTAAGAAGACATTCTAAGAAATCAGCCTGTCGTGCCCAAATGTTGTATGAGGCAGCTTTTGTTCCTGGTGCTAAAGTTATAGGAAAGAGTTCCTCAACACTCCTCCCCATAAAAAATAATTTCTTGCAACTAGGATGGGAATTTGCCACCCTGCAATTATTAGAAGTAGGTGTCCACTATACTGGAAATAGACTGTACTATTAATAATTATTAACTTGATACACTTTTCTCCTACCTGTATCGATTCCAACAAAAAGAACCAATTTCTGCTATTTAGTGATCAACTCTATGCAAGGCTGATGGTGTGAGAACAGTCAGTGCTTTTAGGTGTGTGCTGCAGCTGGAAGCATACACTTTCCCCTCCTTTCCTCACCATTTTCCCTTAGAAAATCTATATGACTACTGCTCAATGCTGTGGGCAGGCTCCATGAAAACACATCTGCCACAATCTGCTGTTTTTTAATTATTTTGATGCAAGTGATTACCAAGCATTTTGACACAGTGAATACTGTTTACAATGAAGTTTTAGCCAGGTCTCACTGTAATTCATTACAGTGAGATTAGTCTTTTAATTATTCATAATGCCAGTGCTACCAACTGCCTTTGCAATACTTTTCTGGGAAAGATCTCACAACAATTCACAAAGCAGCTCAGTAGCATATCTATAATTTCAAATCTAGGGCAGTAAGAAGTTTGTTTTTTAGACTCCAATAGGAGCAACTAACACCAGTGGGTAGATACAGTCAACAAGTACACTGTGATGCTGTAGAACTGTAATACACAGAACAGAGATCTACATGCTTGAGCTTCGCAGTTACTGCACAGCAGTTCTCACTCCCATTTCAAACCTAAAACTCATCTCAAGAAACAGACCCTTGTTTTGCTGAGTTGCTCCGGTTAAGCTTTTAAAAATGTTATCCTCTCTTCTCTATACCTTTTCTCAGGGAGAGTTGGTGCAGCCTGTTACCACCTCTGGGACTTCCTAACTCCCACACCATTTAATTGAGTCACATCCTGCCAGCTCTGCAGGAAATGCACCAGGAGAGACACTCCACAATTAGTGGAGGGTCCCTTCCTTTCTTGCCATCAGGCAGAAGGAGGACTGAATGGAAACGGGACCCTGCGTGGAGTGACAAATGAACACCCTTCCAGCCTCCCTCACCTTTCCAGGTGCCCTTACACAATAGGTACGAAGTTTTGGAACTTGAAGGATGGGGAAATGAGGATGTTGATGAATATCCATCCAGGGAGTTGTCTAGGGTCAGCCCAATGCCTTAAGACTGCCTCTACCAAGAACAAGAAGGGTAATGGTCATACAATACTCCCCTCTGAGGGAAACAGAGGGCCTGACATACTGGTTGAACCCTACTTAAAATGAAGTCTGCTGCCTATCTGGTGCCCAGGTCAGCGACGTTACAAAGATTCGTGGCAGGGCACATGAGTGGATGGTCAGGCACCAAAACAGCCTCCCCAGGGAAGCCGTCATTGCACCTCAGTATTGGGGAAGGTCACAGAGCAAATCGTCTTGAGCGCAATCACACAGCATGAGTGGGACAACTGGGTTATCAGGCCTAGCCAGCAGAGGTTCATGAAAGACAGGTCCTGCTTGACCAATCTGATCTCCTTCAATGACCAGGTGACCTGCCTGCTGGATGAGGACAGTGTTGTGGACAAAGTTTTTAATAAGGCCATTGTTACTGTCTCCCACAGCATTCTCCTGGAGAAGCTGGAAGCTCATGGCTTAGACAGGTATACTCTTAGCTGGATAAAAAATCTGCTGGGATTGCTGGGCCCAAAAAGAAATGGTGAATGGAGTTAAATCCAGCTGGTGACTGGTAGCAAGTGGTGATGTCCAGGGATAGGTACTGCAGCCAGTTTTATTTAATATCTTTATTGATTATCTGGATGAGGGGATTGAGTGCACCATCACTAAATTTCAAGTTGACAAGAAGCTGGGAAGAGATGTTGATCTGCTTGAGGGTAGGAAGGCTCTACAGAGGGATCTGTATAAGCTAGATGGATGGGCGGAGGCCAGTTGTATGGGTTGACTAGGATCAAGCACTGGGTCTTGCACTTTGGTCACAACAATCCCATGCAACATTACGGGTTTAGGCAAAGTGTTGAAAAACTGTGTGACAGAAAAGGATCTGTGGACGTGAGCCAGCAGTGTGCCCATGTGATGAAGAAGGCCACTGGCATTCTGGCTTGTGCAAGAAGTAGCAAGGTCAGCAGCACTAGGGAAGTCATCATCCCCCTGAACTCAGGAAGTAGTGAGGCTGAACCTCAAGTACTGCGTTCAGTTTTAGGCCCCTTGCTACAAGACATTGAGGCCCTGGAGGGTGTCCAAAGGATGAGAAACAAAATGGATGAAGGGTCTGGAACAAACGTCTTATGAGGTGCAGCTGAGAGAACTGGGATTGTTTACTCTGGATTGCTCAGGATAGACATTATTGCTCTTTACATCTACCTCAAAGGAAATTGTAGAGGTGGAAGTTGGTCTCCCAGGTAACTTAGTTACCAGCTCCGGAAAGCTAGCACCGCTGTGCTGTTCTGCAAAAAGTCAGACACTGGAACTTTATAGAAGAAATTATTTAATAACTTATCTTAAATAACATGATAATGTCAACATGTGAATAATTTACATTTGTGGCACAGAATATCCTGTTGTTTTGCTATATATCCTGATATATGTGGAAAACAGAAACAAATACTGTCCCATCATGAGCTTCAGCGTATAATCAAAGTTTAGACTTTCTTTTTTAAGAAACAGCTTGACATTGAAACAGAGGTGCCAAAGCAACATGATAAATAAACAAAACAAGTTTTAAATTAGTTCCAAAGCATGTTCCCTACTGAAAGCTATTTTTTAAAATTCCGTTTTACATCTATAAATACATAGTACAAAAATGCAAGTTTACAAACCATTTTTTTCCCAATAGACTTATGTTATTTGAAGTTTTAAGTAGCATCATTTCTCCAACGTAACACACATATATTTAAGGGCAATAATACTAACTATTTACATATAAAGTTATGAAGTGTTTAAGAATATAAATTAGTAAGAACACAGACAAAAACACACTCATAAAATAAATAACAGCTTTACATATGAGAGCATTTCTGATATTACACAAACATAACACACAAGACTGCAGGAGACTTGATCTTGCAGTTGCTTGTATCTGTCAATTTTGCATCTAAGTAATGCCAGTACAGTAAAAAAAGCTATTTTATGGGGCTGCCCGTGAGCCTGCAGCTACCTTCTTGGAATGTCTCCTGCCTGAAATGGCTCCTGATAAGTTCAAGCTCCACAGAGAACCTGGTGTAAATGAATGTGACTGGTTTTATTCTTCTGATCTGAGATACTGTTGGCAATCAGAGTCTCCTTTCACTTCTGGGGATCCAGGAATTTTTTTTCCATTATTTGGATAGACACACCAGCACCCAGCAGACTCTCCATCCAGTGAAGTTTCACACTAGGATTATTAAGAAAGTTAATCAAAACCCAGAATAAGCAGCTGTCAGCAAAATTTCACTATAGGATACTACAAACAGAGGTGTTGAACAGCACTAGAACTGAAAGCTCAAGAACTGCAGTGCATGGAGCCATTTTGAATGCAGTGATACCTCTCTGACAGAACCTCTTACCAACACACTTGGTTAGGAAGTCTTGATTTGAGCTTAGCTACTTCAACAGCAACTACAGACTTCAGACAATATGCCCACTCCTTGCTAAGTGGTAATATAAAATAGCTGTATCTTCCAGTAAGATGAGCTGATGGAAGGCAGAATATGTAAGGTAGAGAGGTGAAAGCTTGATAGGCTGATTCTTCACACGTGGAGGGAAATGGGATTCTTTAGCTGGGGAATTAAACAGGTTTCTGTGTATGCCTGGTTAGATCCCAGGTGACAGTGAGTCACACAGTGGTGCCACATTCTAAAACAATGTCTTGGTGACACAGATTTATGCAAACCTACGAAATTTTTGTGTATGGCTTATGGCTACAACAGTTTAATTTAAGCTTTTGTTAACTATACAGATTTCCCTCAGTGCGATTTGTGGTGGCTTCTGTAGATATTATAATGGGCATAAGCATTATCAATAAAGTAATCTAAAGGGAGTACAAATCAATATTTTTTTCAATATAATTTCAAGGGGCTAATCTTGCTCCAGAGAGTTTTGTCACTGCAAGTGTTCTTTAATGTGAGAACTGAGATCCTTCTGTCTCCATAGTGATTATTACATATGCCCTTAACAACACATGCAGTATGATGGATATCATGGATTAGCATTGGCTGTGAATATGCTAACAAACTGGATGCACAGAGTTTGACTTGGCCTGAGAAGAGACAGGGTCAAAACGTTTTAGAAAGGCTTTGCGTACACCTGTTCTGTGAATAAAGAAGACTTCTGCCTCCATTTTTGTCAGTGCTGAGCATGCACTCACTTTTAAGAGGACTACCATCTGTTCCCACTACTAAGTATCCTATTTTCACAACCATTTTCCAGCAGCTGCAAACTTGTGAGCTTGGGAGCAGAGGGTTGTGAAAGAATTGTCTGTGCCAGATTAATTGCAACGCTGCTGTGAGCAGACAGGAAAAAAGTACATACCTGTTTGCTGTGGTAAAATCCATTCTTGTTGCAGTTGGGTAAATAGAATTTGTAAATGTCCCCTCCACTTCTCTGCTGAGCCTTTGCCAATTTATATAGAGCTCTATAGAGCTCCTTCTGACAAGGTCCCTACAGAGAACCAAGCAAACAAAAAGTGATCAATATAAAGCCAGCAAAAAGCTTTAAGTATTTATTAGTCATATAATCTGCAGCTGATTTGCATGTAGTTCCTACATGTTCCAATGGGAGTGTGGCCAGAAAACTCTAGCGTTGCATTTAGGCTTTTGTTTTTATTCTTTGAGGTACTTTCTGTCCTCAGAAACATGACGATTAAAGTCCTTAAATTGCTACACAAGGAAACTTAACCTGTACTGAGTAAACACATTAGTACTCTGAGAGTACAGTATCTCCTATTATGGGGAACTGCAAGTTAGAAGGCTTGTGTACGTGAGGCTGGCCATGTTTTGTGGGTTGCCATGGTCCTGTGTTCTGTTGATGTACGGAGAATAGGTGCAAGACATACATAGACAGTGTGAGAACAAACTTCTGAATGTTATCTTTTGCGTAAGACATGGCTGCTACCAGATCAGAACGGAGAGCACTGCAGTGACTCTGAGACTGAGACCCAAAGTACCTCAAAACTGGGACTGAAGATCTGCTTGCATCATTAGCTATGTTCACTATTTTCTTGCTCCTTTTTCTTTTCTCTTTTTTCTTTCTCATTCTCTCTTTCTTCCTTCCTTTCTTTCCCTTCCTTTCTTTCCCTTCCTTTCTTTCCCTTCCTTTCTTTCCCTTCCTTTCTTTCCCTTCCTTCCTTCCCTCCTTCCTTCCTTCCTTCCTTCCTTCCTTCCTTCCTTCCTTCCTTCCTTCCTTCCTTCCTTCCTTCCAAGTCACTGCATTATGACTACTGCATTAACAGTGCCTAACATACGGAATGGGGTGAAGTGACTGAACAAATATTTTTACTTGGGAGTGAAAATAATTTCATCCTCTTCTTTTTCAAGACCTCCCTTCACATAAACTATTCTGTTGAAACCAGTGGGTTTTTCTGTTGCTCTGGGTCAGAAAGTAGAGGTTTAGTAGACAGAATTGTAACCCATATTATATAGTAGTCCAAACTAAATGAGTGCTTCTGCTCTGGATGTGCAGACGGATTTTTTAGTTTTTTTTTTTTTTAAATTATTATTGTTCGTTTGTTTCCCTCCATTTTGTTTGTGAATATTACGAAAATAGGATTCTGTTGTGCATAAATATAATTCAATACCGCATGGTTAAGCACGCTGTCTGGGACTGCGCTAAATGTGGTTCTCTGGTGCCCTCAAGTGGAACAAGAACCTATTTGCTCACGTGCCCCCAGCTCCCTGCTGCTTTACAGTATTGAAGGTAAAAGTGTACTTTAATTGCTGAGCTTTCTGTCTTTTCACGTGCATCTACTTGCTACTGAACAGAAAGAAATATGTTTTGTTTTGTATTGGTGTTTCATCAGTATTTGTGTATAATTAGTCCTTTTTATTTCACTGATCCATAGACAAAGCACAAAAGCCTTTTATTTTTCTAACTAAAACGAGAAAGAAGTCTAAAGGTGTAGTATGGGTTTCCAGAAATTAAGGAACCATGCAATCATCTGATCTTAATTGCAGAGCAAGATTCAACCTCTGCAAGGATTCTGCATAGAACATAGCTGATGCCCACCTATTTTTTGCAGTTACTGCTATTCTGCATGTTTCTCAAGCATCTCAGAAAGGCATTTCTAAAAAAGTCTGTTTGCTAGCTACCCAAAATAACAGCCTCTTGATGTTGGGGCTAGAACTGCTATTAGAGTTCCTTGTGCACTTTCATTTTGTAGTCAGGATCAGTAGCATTTACTGAAATGGTCTCTGAAAGACTTGTGAAAAAACCTACTCACCTGTTCTTTCCATTTCTTGAGTTCAAATATTCTCTTTGCTTTCATGTTTTCATATACAGTGATGAAATTCCAAGGGATGGATTTGTCCTGGCTCATGGGAAACATCATCTGATAGCTCATCATCTGATCCTGTGTCATTTCAGAGCTTTCTAAAGGTATATCCTCAGGCTCAGTAGAATCTGGAAAGGAATTTTATTAAGGTGAATATCTACAGTGATCTTTAGCACTTATTTCTTCAAAGGAAAAAGGTTAAAAAAAAAAAAAGAGGAAGACTTATCCTCACATACCCTTATACCCCACAAATGTAATATCTCTAACAGATCCACTTCAGCTGGAGAAGAAATAACTTACATAAAACCTTTTGTTGTTTGTCATACTCAGACACGGGGAAATGGTTCCAAACTTAAAGAGGGTAGATGTAGGTTGGATATAAGGAAACAGCTTTTATATTGAGGGTGGTGAGGCACTGGAATGGGTTGCCCAGGGATGTGGAAGTCCTGTCCCTGGAGACATTCAAGGTGAGGCTGGACCAGACCCTGAGCAACCTGATCTAGTTGTGGATGTCCCTGTTCATTGTAGGGGAATTGGACTAGGTGACCTTTAAAGGTCCTTTCCAACTCTAAGGATTCTATGATTCTATGATTTGGAATCACTCCACTCCCAAAGATTAAGCTGCAGACACTCTGTCAGAAATGAAAAATCTTTCTTGACCACTAGATGCAGAAAATCTTGAGAAAAACTTTTTTTTTTTTTTTTTTTTTTTTTTTCTTTTTAATCAGCATGATGCGTTTCAATTTTTAGTTAGGAGGTGATTTGGTCCAGACTTGAATTCGTGGTATCCTGTACTTTGTTCTGTGGCTCGCCTCACATTTAACAATGGGTAGCAATTCACAGGAGCTGGCAGATGCTCACCTTGGCCTGCAGTGAATTGAATAGTCAGGGAATGGAAGAAACTGTTTGTATTTGCCTGAGCATGGCCCCTGTGCCTGTACCTAAGTTAGAGACTGTGAAGTCTCTGCTCTTTAGCTTAGAGCAAAAGAAGCTTTTAGCAATTGCAAGAACTCATAATGTTTGCTGTGTATAAATAACTTGTTGGATCAAGGCTGTAAATTAATCATACAGTGACCAAAAATAACCATTCCCCCTCCCCCCCCCCCCGCTTTCGATGCTGAATGAGATTGTTATATCTTTCTAACTGATGGAATCTTAACCACTCAGTTGTATCTCAATTTACTACCACTAATGGTAAATATTGTTTTGATTCAACCATGACTGTTTTTCTAATGTTATTGAGTTACTTTACCACCTTATCACTACATGAACATAGCTGCAATGATGGCAAAAAATGGTAATAAATAGTATAGTAATGAAATAACACTGAAGAAGTTCTTGGTCAGCATTTAAAGTAAGATGCTTGATATGTCTTTAAGCTCAAAGACAGTTAAGTTAATAATGCACTATTTAAGATACATTTCATTCTTAAAATGAATCCAAACACAAAATTTGCTTAGGCATTTTCATTCTCCCTCAAGACTTTGGAAACATTCATCAATAAAGTCGCAACTACTCTACTCCACTAGCAACTACTCTAGTTACTGTTTACTACTAAAGGAAAACAATCTACAGTTCCACAAACCTTACTGTGAATAGTCTGCATCTTCCCATTACTTCAGTGGTTTCCTGGGGCATAAAAGCCTTCTCTGAACATCTTCTGGATCCGCAACAGGATGCTTCACCTCACACCCATCAGAGCACATTCTCCGTGAAAATGCCATCAGCATTTCCTATGTTTCAAACGCGTGCATAACTTTGTCCATCCCCCCAAGCTCCCGTCTCCCTGTTCCCGCAGCGCTGTCACCGCAGACCCATCAGTTCCCAGCCCACCTGCACGGAGCGCTTTCGCGATCGGTCCCTACCTGCCGGCTCAGCTGAGCGCGTCCCTCCAGCTTCGCTGGCGGGCAGGCACTTTCCTTGGCCCTGGATGAGGGCGGAGAGGGGCCGGGTCACACCCGACGGGACGCGACAGCGGAGACCGTGGCGACAGCGAGTCGTGTAGACCCCGCACGACTGGCCCGGCCCGAGGGCGCAGGTCTGGCAACAGCCGCAGCCGGGCTGCCGAGCCGTCTCAGGGCAGCCGGGCTCGATGGCCGGGCAGAGGGCCAGCTTCTCCTGCGTGCACGGCGCACACTGCAGGGGCTGCGGGGATGCGGCGGCTACGAGGCGAGGGCCCAGCAGCGCCGGCAGCAGCAGGGGAGGCAGCCAGCAGCGGCTCAGCAGGGACCGCGGGCAGTTCATGTCGTTGGCGAGGGATCGCACCTCAGCGGCGTGGGGAGCTGGAGGCAGGGTACATACGTACATCCCGCTAGCCCGAGCCATTTATACAGCCATTTGCCTTGGCTATTAATCTTTAACCTCGAGTTAACTATTATCTGAACTAGAGAAACGTCATTGCACTGAAGGTTCGAGTTCCTGACCACTATTCTCCTCCCGTTTCACTTTCCTCCTTTATTATTATTTTTTTTCTTCCAGACGTGCAGAATTGCCTTTATTCCTTCACCCCCATCCCTCTTCCCTAGCATAGTTATCAGGGAAAAGAAGCTGTGAAGGTGGAGGGGAAACGGGCAGAGAGTCACGAATGAGTGGGTGCATCCCTCTCCTTTTTGCCCGTCAGAAATGCCTCCCGTTTCTGGCATACGTGCACGTAAGATTCCTTGCATTAACCTTCGGGAGAGGCTGCGCTGTTGAAACTGAAGGGGTCTCCCACCTCTGGATTCACTTTTGCTGCTGTTGCTGGCATGGGAGAAATATCAGTCTGCAAAATAGGCACTTGATGGGAACCACTGTTTGTCCAGCAACCCAGAGATAAATGAGATAGCTCTGCTTTTCTGACTGTCACGTAAACCTCTTCATCTACTCATATTTCACCTTAAAACAATCTTTCTCTTTTTTCCTTTGCATACAGAAGTTGTCAGCATAATAAAAGCAAAACCATTCAACCTGCAGTATGTATTGAGTTTGAAACATCAAATTCCACTGTCAAGTTACCTAAAGTACCATGATTTTTGGTTGTGTGAGGGTTTTTATTGCTGTTTTTTTTTTATTAGTTCTTTTTTTTTTTGTGTGTGTGTGTGTGTGTCATTAGTGTGAAAGTGAAGCAGAATTGTAGTGTTGTTTCATGTTCTATTATTCACTTTAGTTTCTATATTATTGAAGCCAGAGTTTTCATTTATAATTTAGTATTTACTACATTTTGAACTCCCTAACATCTTAATTCAGTTCTTGCATTATTCATATTGGTTACAGACTTTCACAAGAAAGTCTTAGAGACTTTTTCACTTTACTACTACATCTTCTATTGGCTTTCTTTTTACAATTTTCAGGCATTTAATGGAAAGTTAAAAAAAATAAAAATAAAAATCACCATAGACAGAAGATAGCAGCTCTTAAAACTCACTTGCATTTTTAAGCATACTGAACAAAACATTTTAAAAGAATTCTTTGGATTTCACATGTCTGTGAGTGTGAGTAGGCTCTGCCTGAAAACCCATGGCATGACAATTTGTGCAGAAAAATTCAGCAATTAGACTTTTCAAGCTCTACTGATTATTTTCCCTTTTTTATTTTATTTTTTTCATGTATATCTGTAATGGAAAATGATGATTCTTCTATCAGTGTGTGAGGTGAAAATATATAAAAATATATTTATTTTCTCCTTCCTTCAAAGAGAAAAAAACAGGCAAAACAAAGTCCCTTGCATTAAGGACCATATATATATACATGTATATATACATGAAATGTAGAACCATCTGAAAAATGCAGAGATCCAAATATCTTATATGCATTTATAAACGCATATGCATGCATTTGCTCACTTGTCTACAAGGGATGCTATGAAAGTAATGCCTCCTATTTTATTATATTTGATCCATGACATCAGAAGTGGATATTGGTGGAATGGCAGTAGAGGATGAATCCTCCACTGATATTCTGTTAAATTTTGTTGCTATGCAGCATACGGAAGCAGAGGGGCAGTCTGACAAAATGATGTCTGACATGGAAGTGCATATGAAGCAAAGATATATAATTGAATTGTTCTGTGCAGAAAAAAAAATGAAACCCATTGACATTCACTGACACTTATTGAGACCAAACAGTGGATATTCACACAATGAGGCAGAGAGGGGCTCATTTCAGCAAACGTGATGATGCCAGTGGATCACCACAGCTGGTGTGCAGGCTCTAGTTTATCATTGGTGAAAATGCATAGCTAATAGTGGTGACTATGTTACCAAGTAGTGTTATTTTATTCTTTATATCTACTGTAGTTTCTTTGGAGCAACCTACGTATACATCTCTCTGCTCTTTTGAAAGTCTTCACTGAAACAGAATGCAGGATCAGACTTTTACTGGCTGCCTTACATAGGCTTACTTCCTATAAAAACAACTGTGCTCCAGAGTGATTGCCTTCCTTGAATTTTTCCTTCCTTTGCTTTTAAAAAGGAAACATGAACTGAGAAGCAATTGCTCCTAATGATACATATAAAACACATTCTTTAAAGCTTTTGTTGTTCTTGCTGTTTTTGTTGTTTTTAAACACATTACCACATCACCATCATTTTTTCTTCATTGGATAAAGAGAGGAGCATAGTGCAAGACTTCAGTCCTTGTCTGAAGTACAGGACTACATCACAAAATTTTCACTGGTTTGAATGGAAGTTCTTCTTTGAAAGATACAATTGTGTTTTCAGGTCTTTGTCATATTTCTCATAGAATCATTTGGGTTGGAAGGGACCTTTAAGATCACCTGGTTCCAACCCCCCGCTATAGGCATGGACACCTCCCTCTAGACCAGCCTGCTCAAAACCACATCCAGCCTGGCCTTGAAGTGCTCTCAGGGAGGGGGCATCCACAACCTCTCTCTACAACCTGTGCTAGTGTCTCACCACCCTC